GATCTCTTAAAATCGTCAAAACAAAGAATCTTTTGATTATAATATGAAAGATGAAAAAAGTTAAACAAACAAATTTAACCTCGAAATGAGGTCCGGTCTGGCTCCGTTTATATCCCTCGGCTAGAGTCTGAAGTGGGCCTTCTTATCAGTACAATATATGTGTATATATTCCATAAATAAATTTACCAAACAATTTTACCAACAAATATACCAAACCATATAAATACGAAATAACGATCTTCGGGTCCTTCAGAGAGGCCCCCAATCATTCTACGGTCCTAAAAAGTGCAATCTTCAACAAAAAAGAATTAATTTTCTTAAATAATCCATATTAAAGGTACTTTAGAGAAAGACGTATATGAACATTGTGAATTTAAGGTCCGTAAAGTGACATCAATGGGTACAATACCTAAATGGTATTAAAGACCACTTAATTATACAATGATACACTGAGTTTAATCAAAATAGTTAGAGCCGTTTTTGAGAAAATTGTAAAAATGTATTTTTATCTGGATAAGTATTTTTATTTATTTTCTCCTTTATTTAATTACCAAATTCTTCCAAAAGTTATATTTAACATTTTTCCTTGGATGCCGCCCTTAATTAATACTCCTAACCCGCCACAAGAACCTACCCTAAACTCACTTCACAACCAACATCCATCTGATATAACTGCCATTCTTTCATCCTTCCTATTGGACCTCCAAAATACTATGAAACCTCTTATTACTCTCCTCACAAGAATCCTTACCGAAATTCCCTTTAATCTCTCACGATGAGTACAAAGCCCCTAGCTGTTCTTTTATGGAATGCTAATGGGCTACACAACCACCGAGACGAACTTGACGTTTTTCTTCATGACTGTCACATTGATATTGCTCTACTGACAGAAACTCACTTCACACAACGTTCATATTTCTACATACGTGACTACATCACTTATAGATCTGACCACCCCGACAACACCTCCCATGCCGGTTCTTGCATCCTTATCCATAAATCCTTATCCCATTCTTTCATTCCTTCTACTCCAACTGAGGCTATTCCAGCAACTTCAGTAATCATTTCAACCCATCCTTTCCATTTAACACTCTCAGCTGTATACTGTCCTCCTGGTCATACTCTTACCTACAACTTACTTAAATTCTTATTTCAATCCTTCGGATCGCGCTTTATTACAGGAGGAGGCTATAACGCTAAACACCAACGATGGGGTTGTCGAGCATCCAACTTCCGTGGTAACATACTATCTTCTCTCTCAACTTCCAATAGTTACTCTGTCCTTTCTCCTATGAATCCTACCTATTGGCCAACTTCCCTCAGAAAACGCCCTGATGTTCTGGACATATTTTTCACCTCCCAGATTTCCTCTTCCCATGTCACAATCAAATCCCTGGATGACCTCTCCTCAGATCATTCTCCAGTTCTGCTTTCATTACACCCAAATGTCGCTCCTAAGTCCACGTCCCCTTTTACACTGATTACAGGACGAGCACGGGCGGATCTACGGGGGGGGCTTTCGGGCTGAAGCCCCCCCAAAATGGAAAAATATAACCATGTTTTATGGGAAAAAAAAATTAAAAAATACCTCTTAAAGTATTATTTTTCGTGTAATTACATTTAAAAGTACTTAAGGAATAACTTAAACATCATTTCATATAGACAGTTAGTTTCTGTCTGTTTTTCCAAAGTAAACTGGGACAAATTTCGGAAAGACCTGGAAAATAAATTGGACCTAAATACTCCACTTAAGACGAAACATGACATTGACACAGCCATAGAAGTACTTACTACATAAGTGACAAAATAAACGATAATATTTCTATCAATAAAATTAACAACTCCCAACGGACAAACTTGCCACAGCATATTCGTATCTTATTAAGGGAAAAACGCAGAGCAAGATCGAAGTTGCACTGGACCAGATACCCATCAGATAAGACATATTACAACAAATTAACTAATCAACTAAAAGCTGAAATTAAAAAATACAAAATTCAAAATTTACTTAACAAGACAGAAAAACTTACTACTACTGACAAATCATTATGGTTGACCACTAAAAAGCACCTTAAATTTAAAGATTTTAACCACCCACTTATTACTGAAATCCAAACCTGGTCCAGATCTAACGAAGAAAAATCTGAAATATTTGCTCAGCACCTCTCAAAAACATTTAATCCACACCCAGATATCCTTAATCCTCCCCACCTTGAGTTTATTAAAGCAGAATTGGATATCCCACTCCAGCTGACACCTCCACCTAAAGCATTTTATCCTTCAGAAATATCCAATATCATTCATAGATTACCTTCCCGCAAAGCTCCTGGACATGACCTAATCACATCCCAGATCCTAAAACTGCTTCCTAAAAAAGCCATACTATTCCTCACCTATATATATAACGCTGTACTTCGAACCACATATTTCCCTGACCCTTGGAAACTATCCATTGTCAAAATGATACCTAAACCCACGAAGCCGCCAGAACACCCATCCTCTTACCGTCCTATTTCTCTCTTACCCATTATGGGCAAAATCCTGGAAAAACTCATCTTAAAACGCCTGTATCCTATCCTAGACTCTAAACAAATTATCCCAGATCACCAATTTGGATTCCGCACATCCCACTCCACTATACAGCAATGCCATCGTGTGGTAGATGTAGTCTCCTCTGCATTGGAGCGCGGAATGTAGTGCACGGGAGTCTTTCTCGACGTTGAACAGGCGTTTGACAGAGTCTGGCATCCAGGACTGATGTACAAACTCCGTAAATTCCTACCACCTACATACTTCCTCATTATCCGTTCCTACCTTAGAGACAGATTTTTCAAAGTCAATCATAACAATGCTTTTTCATCTCTTTTTTCTCAGTTTACTGGTGTTCCTCAAGGTAGTACCCTAGGTCCTATTCTTTATAAAGTTTATATAGCTGACATCCCAACCCATTCCAACACTGTCATCACCACATATTCCGATGACACATGTATCCTATCAGTCAATAACGATCCATCTATTGCATCACAAACTCTTCAATCACTCATCACAAGTCTTGAAAAATGGTGTCAAAACTGGAGGATTAAAATAAACTCAATAAATCCCATCAAATTACCTTTACTCTTCGTTGTAAACCTATGACTTCCTGTCCTACAGTATCCTTTAACAATACCCCACTTATCCCTGTTGACCAAATCCGATACCTAGGACTCCACCTTGACAAACGACTCACTTGGAATCCCCATACCAGACTGAAACGACTAGAAACCGCCCAACGTTTCCGACTACTCCAGCACTTACTAGACAATCGCTCTAAACTGCCAACTATTTACAAAAGACTCATATATATTACTATAATAAGGCCTATTTGGACTTACGGGATCGAGCTTTGGGGCTCTACTAAACCATCAAATTCCTCTCGTATCCAATCCCTAAAATCCAAAATCTTTCGTAGAATCCTTAATGCTCCCTACTTTGTCACAAATAAAATCATCCATAATGACCTTAATGTACCATATGTTTCCGATTTAGCTCAATCCAGATACCTGTCCTTTCATAATAAACTTCTGAACCATCCAAACCCTCTCGTTTCCAACCTTGCTTCCTCTTCTATTCCTGATAACCCTCCCAGGCGTCTAAAAAGAAGATGGCCTCGGGACCTTCTAATATAGAAATATAATTGGTTTTCTACCAATGTGTAGTTTCTCCTCATGTTGTACATGTCATATTACTTGTTCATATTTACTTGTTGTATTTATTATTCATTACAGTTGTAAATTTCGTTAATAAAAATAAATTTAAAAAAACATTTTTTCTTAACTCCTAACAATGATAAATAGTTATTATTTATAATAAACCAAATTAAAGATATTTTAGAGGATGATATGATAATATTGGAATTTCACAAAAGGAAAATTCATCAAATTATTCACTAATTTAATTTTCTAAAAAGTTACATGACAATTTTTCGGAATAAACGTTGATACCTACTTATTTAAATATAATATCGGATCTATAATCACTAAACTACACTAAATGTATTTAAGGTTATGAACATATGCTTTATACATCCATGAAATGATTTTATATTCTACTTCTTGTTTCACACAAGTCCAATGAAATAGTTTTTTTAGCAATGACATTGCCTTGAATAGGTGGATTCTAAATACTTTCTACAAAAATAAAAATATTTTTTAATGTTTACATTTAGTTAGTGAATTTCCTTGAAAACATGTGATTTACGTTAAATATTATCAGTTTACAAAAATTATTATTTAAAATTTCTTCGCCGGTCTCCGTTACCTTCAAACAACTTTCTTTATTAGATATTGTTTGTTTTTTTTTCCGCTTTCCAACGATGTATTGTAAGTATACCTTCTGACTTGTATTTCCGGAGTTTCATTTTCGACCTGTATAAGCATTTTTATTTTTTTTTTCCTTTATTCAATTATCAAATTCTTTCAAAAGTTATATTTAGTATTTTTTAATAATAAGAGATAGTACCTCTAAAGATACTTTAGAGGAAGACGCATATGAACATTGGACATTTAAGCCCTGTAAAGTGACATCAATGGGGATAAGACCTAAGTGATATTAAATACCACTTAATTATACAATGACACAACGAGTTTAATCAAAATCGAATCGAAAATTATGAAAATGTGTTTCAGCGTTGATATAAACTGGCACTACCGGTTAGCCGATTTTAAGGAAAAGGTTGCTGTCACATCTAAGGCATACACCTATCTTAAACACGTAAATATCAGTTTCGCATGATTTTAGTTTTTGAGATAGACTGCTAACATACAAACACACAGACACACCGACCATTTTTCGATGTACACCAGTTTTTGGACAAAAATAATCAAGATCATATATATAAAGTATGTATATATAAAGTAAATAGAATATTGCAAATTAGGAATTTTCGGATAAATAATTACTTATAAAAGGATTTTATGTTTATTAGGAATTTCATATGAAATATTTAAAAAATCAGTTACACCAGTGGGTAGCTAGCCTGTGTAGCAATGCCACAGTTGTTTTTCTTGTTTCTTGTCATTTTAATAAAGCCATCGATACCCCAATCTTCACCCCAGGAGTTCTTCACCAGCCAGTAGTCTTTGCCGTTATCGGAACCGTAACCAACTGCGAGGACACCATGATCCAGATCTTCAGAGCTGCAATCTTCCTCATAGTAGACCCCTGTTGAAAAGTAATAATAAAATATCATAATTATGAACGGTTTATTTGTCTAACTTTGTCAGCTTACAAGAAAGTATAATTATAATCTTGCCTGAATCGTAAAGCTGAAAAGAATCAGCACTTGCATCAATTGCCACAGATATAGGTCCAATATTGGCCACTGCTGATTGTAGAGCTGACTCACTACCACTCTGAATGTCTTTGTATCCAGTGATCGTGGCTCCAACATTCGCCTTTTTATATTTGCACTTCGAGCTATCCTGGAGAATCATAAAGATAACTTTATATATACTACTCAAAAATTAATAAGCTAAATTGAAAAAAAAAAAAAAAAAGTATAAGTACTTCGGCTTTATAAGGGTAAGATTTTTCAGTGTCGATTCCATTATTTTTCTTAACATATTCAAAAGCATAATCCATCAAGCCACCCTCACAGGATTCGTTTCCCTCTGCTGTGGAGCAATCCATCAAGTTCTGTTCGCTGAGAGATACGAGTTTTCCAGTTTTCAAAAAATGTTGACCTTCGATGGAACCAGTCTATGGGTTGAAAAATGTAAATAGGTATATATTCATTAGAATTGGATGTCCAACAGTAGTAGGAAGTGTTATAAGAGTCTACGATAACTTAATAACTTACGGTAGAGAAAGCCCAACAGGAACCACACTGTGCTTGATTCTTTATAGGTGTGACTGCACCTTTTTGTCTCCAGTCTACACTGCTTGGTAATTTTTCGTTTGCGGGGGGAACGTAAAGTTCTCCGGTCTGCTTTTTAATTCCTTTGTAACCATTCATTAGCTTTCTGAATTCGGTGGATGTCTGTAATATAAAAAGCAAAGCCAGTCAGATTGCTGGTAACCATAAATTGACCCTGCGTAAAACTTTAAAAACAAATTAATGATGCTTACAAGATCTGCGAATTTGTTTATTCCTAATTTGTATGTCTTGATTCCGTTGGCATGTAAATCATTATGCTTTGCGATCCGGAGCTTATTATCGAAGTAGATGTTCTTCCTTAACTGATCTTCAGCGCTTGTTGCGTAATGTTTACCGTATTTCATCTAAAATGTGATTATCATTAACATGTTTGAAATCCTTTTATTTTAATAACAATTTTACAATACTTAATAATAATAGCAAATTACCTTATATGCACTCCATTCTTCTTCCTCGCTTTGATTGAAAGGTAAGGAAAATACCGACAACGCAAGGGTTAGCGTAATACAAATTAGAAATAATAACTTCATGTTTAATCTGAAAAGTTATTTATTGGTCAATTCCATCTCAGTTGTACTTAGTTTAATTTTTGACACATGAATATTACATAGTTCGAAATTTTATCAACATATTATGACTTTTACTAAAGCTCTTACCTTTGGCAAAAGAAGATGTTTCTTCAACTGTTGCTGGGGTTGCTTTATTTTTCTTCATGAATGCGGCATATTTATACCAAAGGATATTTGCAATGTTTAATCTGATTTGTTTTCAATTTCGATAACCATCTCGTCTATTGATAAAGTATTTTCAAGAGTTTCTCAAAGTGAAACGTATATTTGTTTACTTTGCTCTTTTGGCAATAAAAAAAAAATGTTTTGAAACATGGGCTACTTATCTGTTATCTGGCTACTTATTTATGTTGATCGTTTCCTTATTTTATGAGGTATTATTGAAGTGAAGCAAATCATATTTCAGATTTTTCTTTTCTAGGCTCCATATAATTTACCAAAATAAAACGATTTTTTTGAATGGTAATATCTAATATATGAAATCGTCCAACGATTTATTACCGTTTTTTAACTAGCATTTAAAAATTTAGAAATAATCTGATATGTGGCATCTTCCAACTTTCACTTATTAAAATTACTTTTACTTTCAATACTATTAGCATAAATTATTTTTTTTAGAATTTAATTAACCTTGAGGATATTAGTTTATTTATAAATTATCAAGAACAGAAAATACCGTACGAATGAGAACTCATTTGCTTGACGCGTTGCAACGGAATTGCAAATAGTAGTTGAAAAATAAAAATTATTCAAAGGGATTTGTCTCAGTACTTTCTGTAATTGTATATAACACCGCGAGTACTTTTTGTACTTAATTACTGTGTGTGAGTACTCTCAGTACTCGCCGAGATCGCCCCGAGTACAGAAACTACTCTTTACTTTTTCCTAATAAAACTACTCAATTCCTAATAAAAGTACTGAAGTCATGAATGTAATCGAGAACTGCCCATCTCTACTCAGTTGTCCTGAACAATTGCAAACGATAATTGTATCATTTGTGAGGGAACGACTCTTTAAAAGTAAATGTTTCCGAACGGATTCCTTGTCCCATAAATTTCATCTCTGGAGTTCCACTGTTTTGATTTACAAGGCAAGTAAGGACCTAGTACCAAAATACAACAGTAACAGATTTTTTTGATGATTGAGATTGCAATCACAAGGCTATGAACCATTCATATCTTGTAGCCAAAAAAAAATAATCGACAATCAAATCTTCGATACTCACTTGGACTTAAAAAAAAAAGTTTATTTGACAAAAAATATACAATGAACAAAATATATTGTTAGTGTAGTTGTTGTAACAAAGTTACAACAACTACACTAACTATGGCATCTAACTATCTACTATGAGTGACAATGTCTGACTACTTGCTAGGCGGGTAAGAGAAGGGTATTTATACAGAGTCAGGAGAAATATGCTGACTCTAGGGATATACCATTATTTGGCTACCTTAAATCCTCCCTTCTGAAGTTCTCGAGCTCCGTGAGAGAAGAAGTGGATGAATAGTGTTGGCAGATGTAGAAGGCTGGAACACAAGTTCTTCCTTCGGACTTGATGTACTATCTACTTGCCTTTGTTGGCTAAGAATACTTGAGGGTTTAAACATTGTATAACAATTATAAAAGTTAACAAATAACAGATATAAAACAATAATAGTTAATACTAGTGAATAATAATTAATGTTAAAATCATTTTCATAATTAGTATTAAGACTTTCTAACATTGCATTGCTGAAAGTAGGTATGTTTAGTTGATTAAAAGTTAAATTCAAATGTTTATAATCAGAAATTACATGAAATGAAGACAATACCTCCCTAAATACATAATTATCTCTAGTATGGTTAACAATTTCTTCCTTATCACTTTATTTAATAATAGCTGTTTCTGGTAAAATTACTGGATAGGATGAATTATTTTGTATAGTAATATGTTTAATCTTAAAACTAACAAAAACATCAATAGTTTCTACATAAAATATATAAGGTTCTAAATTGCTAAATAGTTGAGGTTAAACAATTACTTAAATGATTATGAATAGAATTATTTATACATGTATCATTAATTTTATAAATTTTATTACAATAATAATTAGTTTTTATAAAATTACACTCTCCTTTATACACTTCTGCGTTATTATATAATACCATTTGATTATTTACAATTGTTGTTATAATATGATTATTCTTTCTGACTGTAACAGATAATAAATTTAGTAGGTAACTGTATCATATAATGGATAATATTATTTTTAATCATACATGATATTTTACTTGTGAGCCATAATGTCTCAAGATCAGAGCTAACAAATTCTGAATTATTATTTATATCAATATTTTTTTAAAATACTGGAATGTGTTATTCCAAGTTTACACATTTCTAATGAATTTTCAATGTCCATGATTACAATAGTGATATAATTTAGAATGTCGTATAATTCATTTAAGTGGTTTGTTAATGTGGTCTTGTCGACAGTATTTATTAAATTGGCTAATTTATTACTATTAGTATTAATTAATCTAATGTCTTTTTGAAACGTTTTTACTAAATCTTTATTAATTTGAATTTCTTGAGCTATATTGTGTTCCATACGATAGTTGTTTTCTTCTAGAGTAGTAATGATCTTATCATAATGCGCCTTGTCATCAGAGTCTAGGTTTCCAGTAAGCCAGTTGATTGTGCTTCCTATGCCGTTTATCAGGCCTCTTTTTCTTCTATTAAGTGGAGCATCAACTTTATCTTTTAAAAATATTAATTGTTTGGAAATTAAATCATATTGGCTATGTTGCTTAAAATTACTTAAATCTCTTTCTAATACGGATATTTCATTTATGAAATTAGAAAAATTTAAATAATGTATGATTGTTTTGTATTTTTGTATTACCTTGGAATCAGATAATTTAAACGTAACCAGTCCTGAAGAATGTTCTGGATTGATTATTTCATATTGTCGCGATGTCTGAATCATCAGAATCAATATCCATATCATCTTCATCATCTGGAATATGATATTTTCTTTTAGTTTTTCGTTTTCTTTGGATATTATCTGCATGCACCTTAAGGTTTTTATTTTCATTCTTAAATTTATACACTTGTCTAAATGGATTTTCATGTTTATTTCTAGTTCTAACCTTTATATAAGGTTCATCTTCAATCACTTCATTTTCTCTGTCCTTATTTAAGGATTCAGTTCTTACTTCTTTTTCTTTTTCAATTTTATTCTTTATTTGCTCATGAACTAAATTTAATTCTGTATGATATTGATTGATTAAGTCTTCGTGAATGATTGATAATTTCTTTTCAGGGTCTTTTATAGCACCAAAGGTGATTTCATTTGGCGATAATTTAAGTTTTTGATTTAAAGAATTATTATAAGTGATGAGGGCTAAATTTAAATTTGTGTTTAAATCTCGTTTTTCATCATTATTTTTGTAAGTTCTAATGATTTCTATCAATGTAGAATGAACTCTGTTCATGAGCCCAAGAGAATTAGGATGATTAGGAGTTGTATAATAAGCTTCGATTCCTAAGCTTTCTAATAGGTTTTGAACTAAGTTGTTTTTATATGCTTTTCCATTATCCATTTGTATTCTTATTGGATTTGGGAATAAACTTAAATATTTTGTAATTATTTTAAATATGTTGATAGCATTACATGCTGTGGTGATTTCAGCATACATTTTTTTTGAAAAAGTATCTATAATAGTTACAATATACTTCTGCTCGAAGTGTAGAGTATCTATCATCAACTCCTCGAATGGTCTCAGAGGTGTTGGTGTTACTTGAAATTTTGATTTGATAGGTTTCCTATCATATTTAGTCTTTCTGCAGATATTACATAAATTTATAAACTGGTTAATTTCTTCTTTCCTCCTAGGAAAATAATAAGTCCTTTTCATTTTTTCGAAAGTTTCTAAAACTCCTCTGTGGAATGATTTACCTGTATGATAATTATTTATCAATTCTGTTTGTTCTTCTTTTGTTTCTACATTTAACACTTTGGTTTTATACCTTTTAAATTTGACATTAGGGAATTTCTCCATAATTATTGAAGATATCTTTAGGAATATTCCTTCATAATCACTTCTAACCGTTTCTACGTTAGGTTCACAATAGACTCCATAAATTTTGTTTGGTTTTAATATTTCAGTTAAAGATTCTTCCAAGTCATTACTCCAAGGGTATGCAGTTTCTATAAAATATATATTTTGACCGAATGTTTTTTCTAGCCGTATTTGTTTTTCTCCTCTTTGGAAAAAAAATTGATTTTTTTCTATGTTGATCGGTTTTGATTCATCAACAATAAATATTTGTTCATTACTGCTTTCTTGAGAATGTTGAGTTTATGGTCCGTCTGAATTGTAAATTTTGCTCCATATAAGTAGGGTCTAAAATGTTTTGTAGCGTATACGACTGCCAAAGGCTCCTTTTCGATAGTGGAATATTTTTGTTCCGTGGCATTTAGAGTTCTTGAGGCGAACGCTATAGGGTGTTCCCTCCCTTCTGTAACTTGGGAAAGTACAGCTCCAATTGCTACATTACTTGCATCTGTTGTGACTATCATTGGTATTTCGAAATTTGGATATGTTAATATGGGTGCATTCATTAAATGAATCTTTAATTTTTCAAAGGCATGCTTATAATTTTCTGGTATAATGTTTTCTTTATCTTTAAGTTGCTGTGTTAAAGGTTTTGCTATATTTGCATAATTGTGGATAAATTTTCTATAGTATCCCGTTAAACCAAGAAATTGCCTAATTTCTTTTTCGGTCGTTGGTAAGGGGAATTTAGAAATTGCCTCTAATTTTGATGGATCCGTTTTTATACCATCTGGAGTTAAAATATAACCTAAAAATTGAAGCTCACTCTTAAAAAATTCCGTTTTATCTAACTGAATAACAAGGTTGTGTTTAGAAAGGGTTTCAAAAATATTTTCTAAATGTTGTAGATGTTCTTCAACGGTTTTTGAATATATTATAATATCATCAACGTAGACTAAGGTATTCGGAATATTAGCAATCATTGAATTCATCGCTCTTTGAAATGTCGGTGGAGCATTGCAAAGACCGAAGGGCATTCTGACGTACTCATAGTGTCCGTTTTCTGTTGAGAAGGCAGTCTTCTCTATGGAATCGTTTGCCATCTCTATCTGGTGAAACCCTGAGTCTAAATCGGTGGTAGAAAATATT